GGATACAAAGACTTGTTATGTGTGGTTCCTAGATGCATGAAATAATCATTAAATCACAATATGTCTTGATGGTTTTCTTTTGGCAATGGGTAAGGTGGTGTTTTGTGGAGATGGAGGTTTTGGGATAGGAGATCTTATTTGATTTGAGGAAGAAGAAGGAGAAGAATCTGGAGATAGAGGTTAAGGAGAAGTAGGTACTGGACTTTCAGGTGTAGGAGAAGAAGTGTTGGGATTTGGTAAGGGTTCTGGATCAAGAGGAGATGACTGAGTAGGGAATGGTTCTGTGGTAGGAGGAATGAAGGTATAAGGTACTTGAGATGTGGAGGTACATGGAGGACTGGAATCAGTAGATAAGCAGGAATGATGTTTTCACGAAACACCACATCCCTAGAGAAAAAGACCTTTTGTCCTTGCAAATCAAACAACTTGTACCCCTTTACTCCTGGTGGAAACCTCATGAAAATAATGGTTTAGCTCTAGGAGAGAATTTTGTTATGGATGGCCATATTGGATTTCATAGGGAGTTTTATTTTCAATAGCAATTGTAGGTAATCTGTTTATCAGATAAATTGCATGAAGAATGAAATCTGACCAGAATTTGAAAGGTAATCCAGATTGAAACCTAAGAGCTCGGGCAACATTTAGTATATGTTGATGTTTTCTCTCCACACGAGCATTCTGTTGTGGTATTTCAACACATGACATTCGGTGAGTTATTCCGAACTTTAAATAGAAATCAGGCATGTGAAACTCCCCCTGACCAGACCTTACTGTTTTAACAGTCTTTTCAAAATGTGTTTAGACCGTCACACAGAAATCTTGTAACAATTTTCTGGCTTCATATTTAAACTTTATAAGGTAAGTCCACACACATCTAGACTTGTCATCTACAATGGTAAGGAAATAATGGAAACCATTTTAACTGGAAACCGCTAAAGGGCCTCAAATATCAACATGGATAAGCTCTAAAACATTGTTTGCCACAGATTGGCTTGAAGGAAATGAGAGACGTTTATGTTTGGAAATAGGACAAACATCACAATGATAAACAGAAGTGATATCTATACTAGGTAAAACTTTCTTTAGTGCTTTAACTCTAACATCAAAAGGATGTCCAAGTCGCCAATGCCAAAGATCAAATGATTGTGGTGTAAGGTTGTGAGTCTTGAGAGAATTGATATGTATAGGTGTTTCATTTGTGGTGGTAGGTATGAGATGGTATAAACATCTAGTCTCTTGGGCAAAACCAATCGTCTTCGAAGTCAAAAGGTCCTGCATGGAACAAATTATGGATTTGAAAGAAAAAGTTGGAACAAACAAGACATTATGGATTATGAGGTTGGGAGTCAACCTCACTGTCCCAGAGTGAGTAGCCGGAGATTTAGAGCCATTTGGTAAGGTAATAAACACATTTCAAATGGGAAAACATTTGATGAAACTATAAATAGAACATGTAACATGATTAGTTGCCCCTGTATCTAAGAACCACACATTAACTAGTTCCAATGGATGTTGCTGGAAATATGAGGTAAGGGTGAATTTACCTGCAAAATTGGGATTCACATTGAGATGTCTACTCACTAAATTAACCATTGGCTGCTGGTGTTGATGAGGAGAACTGAGGTTTGGTCTAGGGGAAACAGGTGAAGTAGGAGAGTTTGGTGAGCTGAACTGAGTCAGGATCCTTTGAAGCCTGCTCAAATCTTCATTGGAAAGCCTCACATTTGTGAAACCATCAGTGGCTTCAATCAATGCCCTGGTTTCTGGTTTAGACAAGACTTCTCCTCCAGTATTGTCTTTTCCTTGGATTTGTCCTGCAAAACCAGAAGATGACCCATTCTCTTTGTTCTTCCTCTTTAGCTTGTAACAATCAGCAATCACATGGTTTTCCTTCTTGCAATATCGACAAAATAAATGACCACCTTGAACAACCTTAGCCGCCTCTTTTCCCTTTGACTGGTTTGCTGCCATTAAAGCAACAGATTCCACTTGAGAGTCTTGGCTTGGTCTTCCTAGCTGCCTTTCATGCTGAATTGCATAATGGAAAGCAGTTTCTATAGGCGGCAGGGGAATCATCATAAGCAAGTTGGTTTTAACCCCTCCATACGACTCATTTAATCCCATAATAAATCTAGTCACAAATTCATTCTCACGATACTTCCTAACAGTAGTCTCAGTAATACAAGTGACAGCTCTATTTCCCTGATCTCCTCCACACACACAATTAGGGATTGGTAGAAATTGGGTCAGTTCTTCCCAATGCCCTTTCAACTCAGAATAAAATTGAGTTACTGACTTGTTATCTTGTTTCAAGGTGTAAACAGCCATCTGTAGGTCACTGATACGTATGTTGTATGCTTTTCCATACCTTTGCCTTAGATCATCCTAGAGAAGTTTAGCATTGTCATGGAAGGACACGCTATTCATCAAGCTGGGATCCAGTGATGCAAGAATCATGAAATAGACAGTCGTGTTGCTTTGCTCCCATGATTGATAGCTCTCATGTCCCAGATCTGGAACAAGAATCGATCTAATAATGAAACTGAGCTTGTTCTTGCTCTTCAGTTCAACACTCACCGTTATACTCCACATATTGTAGTTGGCGGTACCTGTAAGCTTGATTGGAAAGTTTAGAGCTTCATTAGGGTTTATGTAGAAGGGATTTGTGACAATGTTGGTAGAAGTTGTAGCTACTGTAGAGCTAGACGACCTAGTAGTGGCAGCTTCAGTTGCCATTGTTTTAGGAACGAAGGTTTAATGCAGAAGAAAATGAAAGAAGAAGAATGTGATTCTAGTGGGAATGAAACCCTAGAAAATGGAACCAGGCTCTGATACGATATGAAAATGGATATCATAAATTGGTTAAGGAACCCACAGGCTTCCTTGTGGCTCAAAGGCCTGGCATATATACTCTGTCTTTACTTCTTAACGAAGGAGAAGAAAGTTACAAACGATAACAAAGTGAAAAAGACCTATCTGCTAATCAGAAGTAAACACGTATATATGTACAGTAAAAATGGAAAACTGACTACACACTATCTAAGACGACATCGTTCTCTACTCAGCCCATCTGTTGCTTCCGAGGGAGAAACGTCACCGTCCTATAAGCTCTACAGTGCTGAAGTCGATGGAATCATCTTCAATAGTACCAAACCCCTATGATTCACCTCCGCAAAGCCTCGCCATCCTCCACTTTTGGCTCTCAACATAATAACTAGTATTTTATACATTTTTTCACTTTCTTTTAGACTTCTTTTGCTCTGTCATTTTAGCAAGTTTTCTATAAGTTTGTCAGTTTTATACTTGGAATGGTGTTTTAGTGTGTTTTAGGTTTTTGGAATTGAATTAGACGATATTTGGATGACAAATGCACTATGGAGCATAAATTTGGGGTTCGATGCATGTTGGAATGCATTTGGAGAGCTTTGGAATGAAATTTCGAGACTAAGGTGTTGTTTGCTAATGGGATTTGGATGTTGTATTTGGTCTCCAAATACAAACCACCATGTTTTTTGTCCAAAGCCATTGTTTGTTAAGGTAGGCAAATCTGTGGGTGACAAATGCACTATGGAGCATAAATTTGGAGTTCGATGCGTGTTGGAATGCATTTGGAGAGCTTTGGAATGAAATTTCGAGACTAAAAGGACATGACACAATCGTGTTGGTGGGCATGCTCAGATATACTTGGAATGCCAGATAATTGAAGAAAGCAACAAAATAAATACTTTACGAACCGAACAAGGCTGGATGGATGGTCATGCTGGTCTCCAAATATGAGTCGCAAGGTTGACACGACCTCGACCATGGTCGTATTTTAGGTCGTGTTTCTCTACAGGCGTCAACCTGTTTAAGTTATTTTTCAACTATTCTGGGGGGAGGGTAGACACTTTTTCACCTAACACACGAGTTTGTGAGAAGAAAAAGAGGATTTTCTGACAACTTAACCATGGAAAAGTTGATTTTGAGAAATCGAGATATTTACAACCGTGGAGATCGCCTCTTCTTCCTCTTCATTTATTTCCTCATTCCTTTTGAACTAGACATCTTTTGTTGTGTTGCATGAGATGAAACTTAGTTATATTATTTTGATTTGATTGAACTTATATAGATGGAGATCTTTATTTTTCTTTAAGTTATTTTTTATTTATCTTTCAATCATATATAATTGCACGCCTATTGCATACTTGTATGTTTCATGTGTATGAAAGGGGGGTGTATCCCCATTGTATGTCTTCCTGGCCGTGGAGATGCCATGTCATTCGTTTTCTCATATTTGTTTCACATCCTTAATCATTCAGATTTTATACAAGTATCCTTCATTAATCTTGAAAGCAACAATAGTGTTGTTGGGATAGATGGAATCATGGAAATGCACATTATAATTTCCTCCCTGTTGACTCAATCATGGTGATAAATATTGTATCTCATTTGCTATAAGTCTTATCCTAATTTGGGGTTTAAAATGAATGAAATTGCTTAGCAACAATCGTCTTTATAAAAAAAATACTGAAATTGCTATTCAAAAAACTAATTGCCGGTAAAAGTGGAGATATCGAGCAAATTAGAAAAAATTCAAGATGTTGGGGGGAACTGGTCAAATTGGTACATTATTTCGATTGATTCTCATTGATACTTCAATATTAAAAAATTACGAACAGAAAATTAAAATAAATTTAGTCCAGTTAATTATGGGGCAGCTGTATGGTACAAAACTATTGTTTACATTATTGATCAAGTAAAGAAAATTACTGAATTTTCCTTGCTGATTCGTTTAAGCATTAACAATGTTCCTGATACATATTACTTCTTGTTCACACTACCTTAACAAAGCCAACAAAGCGTCACGCCATATACAAATGCTGGAATAAAAAGGAAACTTTGATGCTCTTAAAATTATCAGTGATATGAATTTTGGAACATAACTGAAGATAATTTTTTTTAAGATTATGTAATTATATTTCATAAAGCATGAGAGATTCCCGCGTTTAAGTTTCCCACTTTTATTCCGAGTCCAGTCCCTTCGCGCGGCAACCAAACCAATCGTAACGGTACCGTTTCGCAACATCGCCGGCGATGACCCGATACGCCGCCTCCGTGTAGTGATGATCGTCCCACTTGATATAAGACGCCGGATTCTCACACGCAACCGCGCCCGGCCGTCCGCAAACCGCCGACCGTTCGTAATTGTACGGCCCACCGGCACCGCAGCAGGCCCTGTTGATCGTCGCTTTCCCGAACCCGAACTTCTCCGGGTCCTCGTGGATCCGAGTGGCCGACCCGAAGTAATCGGCGTAGTGGATCCTCGCACCCGGGTGGAGCTTCTGCACCCGCTCGATTTCCTCCTGGAGCATTCGATTGTGTTGGTCGGAGAACCAGTTGTAGTACACGATGCAGCCGGTGGTCGGGTCGTAATCGCTCTGGTCGGAGCTCCGGAACCGAGTGAGGTAGGAAGGGAAGCATCCTTTGGGGAAATCGCCAGGGACCAAGAAATTGACCGCGCCCAATTCGATTAGCTCCTCAATTGCGTCCCCGATCCGGTCCACGACGAAAGGAATTAGATCCTCGGCCTCGTAGGAGGGGAAACCGGCGAGGGCAGCAAGCTGGTAATCCACGCCGCCGATTTCTCCGACGAGAAACAGGGAATTGCTGAGGTAGTCTCTGCATGCGGAAGGAGTGGAACAGAGTGAGTTTAGAAGGGTTTTGAATCGACTTAATTGAACGCTCAGTGAGCAATTCTGGCAGCCGGAGATTCCTCTGGATTCGAGGAATTCCGGGTCGAGGGCGGTGGCGGAAACCACGGCGAGATTGGCTCCGTGAGAAACAGAGGTGGTGGTGTTGATCGGTTCTCCGTGGTAAGGCGGAAGCAGAGGGAGGCCCAGGTGCTGGGCGATGAAATCGACGATGACCCGGCCGTCGCTGCAACGGCCGGTGGGTTTGTGGAAGTAGGTCTCGCCGTAGGGAGGGAATGCACAGTGGGGGGCGGTTTTTCCGGGAGTGAAGTCCTGGGTTTGGATTCCTGCGGCGGTGGCGGAGTCGCCGAAGCTGAAGAGTGAAGTGTAGCAGCTGGGTTCAGATGGATCGTCGTTGGAAGATCGGAATCCGTGATTCAGGGGTAGTATTAGGAGGAGAAGGAAGAGGATCGTTTGCAGAGGCTGAAGTTCCATCCTTTTCTTGCTTTGGGGTTTTCCTAAAGCTGAGTGGAAAGGAAAGCAATTTACACAAAGAGCTTTGTAGGGATCTATCAATGGCGTGTGGGGTGGGAATCGGGTGAGAACATATAATTGCACGTTTGGGGCAGTGATTGGCCTGTCGACTGTCCAAGAGTAAAAGTCTGAAGCATACCTCGTTATTGGGAAATCGTACCAGAAATTATACCGACAAAGTTACTAATAGAGTATTTTGTACTAAAATCGTGGTTGAATTGTAGTTCAACCGTTTCGTATAACTAAAACGATCTACCATTTGAACTTCGCGGTAGAACCGACCAATACGATAGAATTTTAAAGCATTAGCATGAAGAGGTCTTGCTTCCATCAAAGTCTAACCACCCCAGTAGTTGGGGTTAATAGTGGCTTGCAAGATGCAGCATACAAGTCCTTATCCAACTAGGACTCTGCACGTAATGTCATTTTCCCCTTGTATTGGACAATATTGCTTCTGCTAGCCGGATCAGTTTTTGCCCTTCTTGGGTAGTGATAATTGAAGTCTGTGTCTGCTGAGCCCTTGGTGAAAAGGTCGGCAAACTGTATGGCCGATTGATACAAACTCGTACCATTTGAAAAGACCATTGAGCTAATTTAGTCACTTAAATTTTGTTTCACATCATGATGCTTAAGTGTTTGTACTATTTTATAAAATGATAGTGAAATACAAGAATAGAATTCCACCCTAGAAATCCATTTCCAACCAACCAACAATACGAACAACTCTAATCTAGACAGAGAAATGTTTTTTGTTGTCATATTACCGGCTGCTCAATTGACGGTCCTTGAGACCGCACAAAACTTTAAGCATGAGTCTAGAGTAGCTATTATTTGTAGGCGGTCTTTGAGCATTGGGCATCCACTTGCATCGAAACTCTACCTCTCTCTTAGTAGTTGATGAATTACGACTTCAGAATCTCCTTCTAGTGTGACTCCATGAAGGCCGAATTGCTACAAATTAAGTGTAGATCATCTCGAACAACTAGTAGTTCAGCCATATCCGGGTTTGGCAATCCCATGATACTGAAGTCTAATAATGAGGTGCAGACGGTCACCTGCGAACTTCACCATCGAGCCCTTGGTACAGCCCCATGAAAGATGGATAGCATTTCGAAGTTCAATTCGAGGTCGAAAATTACTATGTTGCGGGATTTATAGATTATTCATAGTAAGCAAATTATTTGGAGAATCTGGTATGGGTTGAACATAGAGTACATTATTCTCCGCCACCAAGTGTTGAAATTTTCTTGCGCGATTGTGATTAATGATATAATCCAACTTTTACCATTTGTCATCGTCAAGTAACTAATGGGAAAGGAAAGAATATTTGTTTGACGTCTTTGCCTGAAGGCGACAAACAAGACAGAGGTCAACAACCGAGACATCTCTGGCTTTAAGGACAACCATAGCATGTAAGATATCTCTTCAAACTTGCCATAGATTTTTTTTATAATGGTGAAATTGCATTAAACTGAAAAAGGAGAAGGAAGGTACAAAAAAGGAGAAACAGACCCTAGTCCAGCAGTCACCAGCAGTGACTGAGGAAGGCAGTTCAAGCGAAGCAGCAAAAAACAAGGAACAACAATAAGTTGTGAAGCCAGCGAACAACAAATCAAAATGGAAAGGAACCAGAAGAAAGACAAGAACCAGCCCCAAACAACCTCAGGCCCTACAAAAAACACCCATCTGACCCTGGAAACACAGAACTGTAACAACACCAACAGAACAACCAGGCCTTTAGCGATTCAGATGAGTAGACAGCCAAGCGGAGCCGAGATCCCTATTAACTTTTCCTTTGGAAATCACCCACTCGACAATGCTCCTGATGATTTTCTTCGATAAAGCTTCATGGGTGTTCTGAATTTGGTTGAAGATCCGGTTGTTCCTCTCGCTCCAGACCGTCCAGCAAACAGCATGGAGACTACAGTATGAAATCGACCCCTCAATGCAATCAGGAACCTCCGTCGGCCAACTTCTAATAGCGGAGACGATACCATTGACCGAAGCTTGAATACCCTGACTGAATGAACTGATGTCGCTCCAAACTTCCTTGGTGAAGTCGCAGTCCACAAAAAGATGGTTAATAGATTCCTCTTTCCTCCGACAAATTTCGCACCGATTAGCAAGCGCCCAGCCTCTTCTTTTGAGGTTGTCGATGGTGAGGATCTTTTGGTGGAAGCAAATCCATAAGAAATCACAAATCTTCACCGGGACGACTGACTTCCAAACTGCCTTATTCGGAAAATGCGGCACACCCGGGAAGTGAGAAGTCGCCAGACACCTGTAAAAATATCTAACAGACAAAGCAGAATCTGGGTTTGGCGACCACTCAATGCGAGCAGGACCACAGCCCAACCTATCAACAACATGGGAATATAAAAAACCAATCAAACAAGCTCTCTCCCTCTCAGCCCCCCACGAAGAGAAACTTTCAATTTTATATCCCAATTAACACTCTCACCTAAACGGTAGACGATGTCAGAGATCCAAGCATCAGGACTGAGAGCGGCAGTAACGATACGCGGAAAAGAGTCAGCAAGAATGGTCTTCGGGATCGAGCAGTCATACCAAAATGAGACCCAAACACCTCCACCCGGATTAATACAGACATGATGCCAGAAAGCATCGAACATCCTCAAAATGTTAACCCACACCGAGCTATTCCTTCCCACCCTTGTTCTGCCAGTATGCTACATAGAAGATCCATCAGAATACTTCATCTCAATCAGGTTTCGCCACCATCTTCCTCTTTCTTTAGCAAACTTCCACATCCATTTGCTTAACATGGCTAGGTTGAAAGATTCGAAGTCGAGCGCCCCAATACCCCCATTCTTCTTTGAGGCCTTGCACATGTCCCATCCAACCAAATGAAACTTGTTCTTCTCACTTGTACCACCCCATATGAACCTCTTTTGCAGCCTTTCAACACTCCTGGTAACCGTCTTAGGAGCAAGGAACAGAGAATAGTAGTACACAACCTGACTATTGAGGCAACTGCTATTAAGAGTAAGTCGGGCCCCAAAAGACATCATCTTTCCCTTCCAACCTTCAAGACGATGTCGTACACTATTTACAATCGGGTCCCAAACTGAAATGGAATTGGGTCGTGCCCCCAACGGGAAGCCAAGATACTTAGATGCATCTCGACTCCACTTGCATCCGAAAATTTCAGCAAAGAAACTCGGTTCTGGAACCTCTCCGACTATATACATAATTGATTTATCCAAATTAATCTTGAGGCCTGTTACCGCTTGAAAGCACACTAAAGTACCAAGAAGGCTCAGCACCTGATCCGGAGCAGCATCACAAAAAACGAGCGTGTCATCTGCGAATAGGAGATGGGTGACCTCTCCCCTTGACTGTGTCTCATCGATGAAGAAACCTCTAATTTTCCCATTCTCCTTTAGCTTATTCAACATGAAAGAGAGCACATCCATAACCAAAACAAACAAGCCAGGAGAAAGGGGATCGCCTTGTCAGAGACCCTTTGTACTAGAGAAAGACCCATTAGACTCCCCATTGACGAGGATACAGATAACCGCCGTACACATAACCCCCCTAATCCACTGCTGCCATTTATGGGGAAAACCGAAGCTTGACAGAGTCTTGAACAGACAATCTCAACTCACATTGTCGAAGGCTTTTCCAGATCCAACTTGAACATAAGACCCGACTTTTTGCTCTTCCTCCTGCTATCGATGAGCTCGTTAGCAATCAAACCTGCCTCCAAAATTTGCCTTCCTCGGACTGAGGCATGCTGGTAGTCAGACACAAGCATAGGAAGGATAGGGTCTTTCACGTCTTCAACTGCATCCTTCTTTGGAACCAGGTAGATAAAAGAATGTGCGACGCATTTGGGAAGGGTACCTGTCCTGTGAAATTCTTCAAAAGCCTGCATCAATTCCGAACGCAAATGGAACCAGCATTTTTTGAAAAAATCGTAGGTAAACCCGTCAGGCCCGGGGATTTCCCACCATCAAATGAAGCAAGAGCAGCCCACACCTCTGCTTCTCAAAAAGGCCTAACCAAATTAGATACCAAAGAGTTACAAAGCTGCTGATGCCCATAATTCATGGGGAAAGGTCTATGGGCAAGGCTCTCTTTGAACAGGTTCTGGTAGAAACTAACCACACCAGCAACAAGCTCCTCCCTCCCCTCCAACAGCCTGCCATTAACTCTAATGCACTCAATTAAATTAAACTTGCGCCCGTAGTTTGTAACTCTAAGAAAAAACTTGGTGTTGAGATCTCCACCCTTTAGCCACAACTCATTGGATTTTTGCCTCCACATTATTTCCTGTAGGTTGAGAGCATTCTGTAGTTCCCCTCTAAGGAAATTCCTCTCGGTTCTCTCGGCTTCACTAAGCTGACCATTTTCTTCCAACAGATCAGCATCCTTAATGTGCCTTAAGAGATCATCAACCTTCTCATTGACATTCCCAAAAACTTCTTTGTTCCAAACCTTGATCCTCTTCTTAAACTGCTGTAGTCTCCTAGACAAATGAAAGATGCACCCAGACCCAGCCACCGGATCCAGCATCCAAGACTCAAGGCTGGCATAGAATCTCTCATCCGTCAACCACATGTTCTCGAATCTCCATGGCCTCCTAATCCTCCTATCATCACCCCACTTAATCCACAGCGGATTGTGATCTGACTCAACCCTCTCAAGGGCAGAGAGAGTGCAATCGGGGAACAGAGAATCAAATTCAGTGCTCACAATAGCACGATCAATACGCGACATAACTTCATTATTCCCGCCTTTGCTCCATGTGAAATCACTTCCGCCCAGAGGCAGGTCCAGAAGAGCTTGAGTGTTGATCAAATTATTGAATTCATTCATGAGATCATCGCTCCTTCTCGACCCCATGTAGTCATCATGGTTCCGCACCATATTAAAATCTCCAGCAATGCAAATTGGGACACAAACCTGTTGACAGAGATGACAGAGATCATCAAGAA